CAGTGGCATCATGGGAAGTCTGCTGCTACCCCCCCTTTCCTCAGTTGCTGGAAGTCAGTTAAATGCAATTTATTTTGAAAGTTCCAGAAAAGTGTGTACCGGAGTTTTAATGTTGTTTCCATGGCTGGGTCCCAACATTCTGCAGGATCATCTGCTTAGATATTTTGTTCCTTTGGAGACTTCTTCATTTCAGATTTCTTTTTAAGGATCTGCTGGACTGCAGAAGTCTTGGATATTAAATCCTCCTTCCTTTTAATTTAATTCCTGGTTATTTATATATTATATCTAACAAATCATTTAATATTTTTTATTCTATAAAAACACGTGATTTTTCTGATCTCTGACTATGGAGGTAGATCCACATCAGTTCCACCTTTATGTTTATGTTCCCAGCAGGAAGTGATGTAATGCAGTTCACCCATCAGAGAGCTTCTCACTAATTCAAGGTGGTGCCACCTGCTGCTGCTTTTCATTTCAGAGGAAAATTCCTTCTTTTAGTTGTGTCATCACTTCTGTCGGGTCAAACGCTGGCTGACTGTGACGGAATGGGCCCAGTTTGTAGATTCCCTGATCCAGCATCCTATAGAACCTCCTACCACAGCTCTGTGAAGGTCCCACCGTAGCATTTCAATCTGATTGAGGTGTGGACTTTGACTAGGCCATTGCAGAACCTTGATTCTTTTTTTTAGCCATTCTGTTGCAGACCAGCTGCTGGGTTCGGAACTATGGTTCTGTTGATGACCCATTTGACTCTAGAATACTTCAATAAACCGAGAAGATCGTGGTTCACTCAATAACTGCAAGATGCTCTGGTCTTGTGGTTGTAAAAAAAAGTCCAAACTCTTTCTTGGTCTCACCTGTCCAGAAGACGTTGTCCCAGAAGTCCTGTCCTTCATCCAGATGCACCTTTGCAACCTAAGTCCTGCAGCCATTTTGTCTTTAGAAAGAAGAGGCTTTCTCCTTCAACCCTTTTAAGCAGCCATTCTGGATCAGTGTCATGCCCTTTGACATTTGGTCTGCTAACCGAGGCCTGTAGAGTCTGAGATGGAGGTGTTTTTGGTAATTTCTCTGAGCTTCACACGCTGACGTTGGGCTGAATCTGCTAGGACGTCCACTTCCGGGGACATTGGCAGCTGCTCTGGGATTTTGTTTTGGTTCTGAACGTAGCAGCTTGGTACCGATTGGTTCTTCTGTGGTAACAGGAAGCTGAATGTTGTGTAAATGGGAGGAGAACTTTTTCCATGTTCATCTGAACCACTTCTCAGCTGTGGTTCTGGTTGTTGTTGGACTCTGTTTCCTCCTGGATCCTGCAGCAGACCAGTCTGTCTCACATGCAACAGGAGGACTTTACCACCTGTTGCTCTCAGTGTGACATGTTTCCACCTCTGTTCTTCTGTTTGTACAAGATGTTTGAATCATGAAGCTTCATCTCCTCCTCAGTCTCTGTGTAAAGAGGGAGAATATCTGCAGGGAATGTTTTACTCCAAGATGTTCCTTCTGCGCTCCACTCAGCATTGTTAGAAGATGAAAATGAACAGAGATATAACGGTAGCTTCTGTCTGTTTGCATGTAAGGCTTCAGCAACAGTTTGGATCATCTGAAGCCCCTAATGAAGTCTTAGCTCCTCAGAGTGTTAGAACTTCTGTACATCCCATATCAACTGTAGTCTACAGGATCAACAGCTGGAATCCTTCTGAGAACATGTGTATGTGTTTCCAGATCATCTCCCAGAGGAAACTGTCCAAAGCTCTGCTCAGACCAGGAGGAACCGTTGGGAAAGCCATCATCACGGTGAGTCTGACTCCTCTCCCACTTCTTTACTCACTCATGGATTTATTTCAGCTCCGGGTTGGTTAGAGCTGTGGAGAACCAGGAACAGGAACTGGATTGTGTTCAGTTTGTTCTGCAGATGGACTCATGAGTTCAGGATGGTCCTCCTTGTGTAACCTTTAGTAACCCAGGCTGCTGGTTGTTTTAGGTTTCATGGAGATCTTTGAATCCCAGATTTCGCGCTGATGGAAGAATATGTCTGATCTTTCCAAGCTGCTAATCAGCATCAATCTGGTGCCTTAGCGATGGGTCAACCCTGGAAACTTTTTTGGGTCTTTCCAGAACTTTGAATTTTTTTGCTAGTTTCTGGATTTTGCCAACATTGTAAACTCAGTGAAACGGGTCAGCTGGTACTTAGAGAATCATTCTTTTTTTAACAGACTGCACGGTGGTGCAGCGGGTAGCACTATTGCCTTGCAAGAAGGTCCTGGGTTCAAATCCTAATCTGGGTCCTTTCTGCATGGAGTTTGCATGTTGTCTGTGTGCATTCATAGATTTCCTCCGGGTCGTCCAGTTTCCCTCAACAGTTCAAAAGCATCACTGTGAAGTTAATTCAGGGGCGTTCAAAGTTAAGACAAATGATGCAGATGGTAACTTTTTATTTTTAATTGGGGTAAAATTATTACTGACAAATTAAAATCTTTTTACAAACTAAATATCATTCATTTATCAAGCTGCGATTTCTGCTTTATGTTTGGTTTCATGGTAAATGGCTCTCCCCTCACAATCAGTCATTCACCCATTCACACACTGACAGTGGTGAGCTACACTGGAGCCACAGACTGACAGAAGTGATGCTGCCATACAATCGTGTGTGTCTCTGTGTTGTCCTATAATGGACTGGTTGTCTGTCCTGAATGTCCCACATCTCGATCACCGATTGTTGGTCCTCTCTGACCCTGCATGGATGAAGGACATATCTGTAATTTTCCAGCTCTGGGATCTTCTGAACCGGATTGACAGGATTCAGGTTGATTTTCCGTCTCTGAGGACAGAACCTCACACACCTCTCCTTCACATCACCAGAAATCCCCGGCTGGAAAATCCCCCATCTGATCCTCTTTTGTGCACATGAAAAGCTTCATGGTGTTTTATTTTGAAAGGATTTCTGTGCAGGAAGCAGCTCCAGCTGCAAATAAATCCTTTAAATCTTGTTTCCATTTTCTTTCCTTCCTGCATTTTTCACTTTAAACTTTTTCTGTATTTTCTTGTATCTTTTCTCTGTGTTCTCTTCAAGTTTCTAATATTCATTTTTTTCTTTTCATCATTTTATATTTTTATCTTTTTTACGCTTTACTTCCTTCCTTCTGTTTTTTCCTTAAGCGTCTTCTTTCCCTCCCTTCTTCTTCTTCTTCTTCTTCCGTATCATATTTCAGTTTTCTTCAGTCCTCTGCAAATGGATTTTTTTTTACCTTTCCACCTCTTGCGCTCATTCTTCTGGAATGAGGAGTTCTGTGGGTCTGTTTCCATGGGAACTAACTGGGTCATTGGCTCCTGTTTATCTGATCAGTTTAGAATGTTTTGGAAGCTCCATCGTTCTGTAAATGTGTTGAAGCTTCAGTGAATAAAACAGCAGAAACAACAACCTGCTACATATAATATGGGCTGCAAGAACAACAGACAGAATAATGATGTTTAAGCTGAACTCTGATAGGTTCAGAGAAATCAGGGACTGTGATCATTGGATGAATTTAAATTCCAGCAGGAATAAATTCACCAGCATCTTTCCTTCTTTTTTCGTGTGTTTCTGTCTTCTTTTATTTTCTGAACACCTTAGAACCTTTGTGAGTCCCCAAATTACATTCAACAGAACTGGGTCTCCTGTTCTTAGACCAACATAGGGACGTTTTCCTGTCATATCTTTTCTCAGAAGACAACATGAGTTATATTTAAATAATTTGGTTTATTCAAAGGGAGAAAACCCAAAGAGACAAACAGAACCTCTGCTGAAGACCAAAACTGCTGCATGTTTACAGAAAAATCTCTTGCTGCTTCACTCAAATGTTCAGCAGAAAATCTGTTCTTATAAAGGGACTCTGGGAGAAAACACTGCCACCTGCAGGTCAAACAGGAAACAACAACAGCTCTTATTGCTGTCTCCAGATTAGAGGGTGACACGGGAGTGGATTTTCTCTCCTGTCCCATCCCGCTCCCACAGAAAAAAATCCTGTCCCGTCCCACTCCTGGTAAATTGACTCCCACTCCTGTGCCGCTCCCATTTTTGTTTTCTTCATTTAGTCTTTTGGCAATTTCTTTGAAGGACCAGTTAAGTCCCTGTTTT